ATGTTGAGTTATCTCTAGACTTGATAAATAATATTGATGGAAGGACATCAACTGTAAAATTGAACCCCGGCCTCTGAAAATAGTATTAATCCTTTATCATTTTTATTGAAATTTCCGCATAATTATCTAAAAGATAATATAGCTTTTGTTACACAAATGAATTGTGGTAATACAATTGATGAAAATTTTTTAATCCACCTTAATCTTGGAAGAACAACAATAAGATTATGACAATTTTATATTAGAAAGCTCTTCCATTAAGGGAAAATAACAAACTGTTATAAATGTAACTTTAAAGGCTCTTACCTTCAGTGGGAGGGATAAGTAAATCCCGAAGATTGAGCCCGGAAGGCTAATTGTAATCTTTAAAATTAGGCCCTCTTGGGTGGTGTTGTAATCTTTTCCTTTGGTTATGTTTATTTCCTAATTAATTTTGCTTAGTAAGGTTTTCAACGAGGCAATAAGTGTAACACATAAATTTGCATATTGTCATGTACTCTTTTCCTCGACTACTTTCTCTACTGGGTATTGTAGCGAGGTTTTAACGAGGCATAAACATGATACGATAATGTTCAAGGGGGGAATATTATAAATAACTATTATTTGTGGACATTACCTAAATATAAGTTTAGCAAGTATGAGCTAGCAGGAGTTCATTAGGTAATTAGTAATGTACACTGTATTTTCCTATATTTAGGGTATAAGTGAATTAATAAAGATGACCGATCTTTGACAGTTTTTCTCTTATGTGTCTTGTTTGATGGTTAATTTACTTTCTCTTATGTTCTCTTCCTCTCGCGTTCTCTCTTTTCTCTATGTATTAAACAATACTAGTACAATATCTGTGTACTACACGGATGTTGAGTTAACAAATATATTATTAAAATCATTGCTTAAATAAAATATATATTTAAAAATTTTGAAGGACTAATTAATGAAATAAAAAAGAGGAATAAACAGTGCAGAAAGTGATTTATAAATCATAATTTATGAGAGAAATATGAGAAAAAATTATAATATGGTAAGATTTTTACTTGTCTAAATTAAAAAGGAAATTTGTACTGAGAGAAAAAAATTAACAAAATTAATGTACACTTACCAAGTTTGAAAAATGTTATTTATGTTTGTACCAAGCCTAATTCCAAAGCGAATAAATTAATATACAAACAATATTACGAAGCATAGATTTTTGTCATGTAAGCATCTGAAGCGCATAAGTGTGCCACTTTAACTCAACACGTTTTGAATTAATATAGAGAGAGATATATTACAACCAGATCAACTGTAATTGTGGCCCGTATTATTGCTAAACTTTTATTTTGGCTTATAAACTAATTTTACAATTTTCATATTGAGTAACCAAGACTTTTTGACGGAAAAATCTTATTATTATCTATAATAAATACAAATCTTTGAATATGAATATAGATATAAAATGAAAATATCAATTAACCAATTGATGTAGGGAAGCGTACGAATGGGAAAGATAAATGAGTAAACGAGACTCTCTCTCGTAAAACACACAAAACTCAACATTATCTTATTTTTATTCAATCATCAACTCAATCTGAATAACACAAAAGATGAGGAGTCATTTAAATAAGACTCCTAAAACCCTAATACTAACTTGTCCAACAAGATAAGAACTCTTACTAAATATTAAACAATAATATTAAATCTCTAACTTATTCTCCAAGACACCTATTAAATAATAATAATAATAATCTTAATTATTATTCTGCACCATTCTCCTCCGATTGAGCAGAATTCGCACTCGAATCTGACCCGTTCCCCTAGGAGACGTCCCCGTGACAGGAATAGCCCGACGTTTCCCCCAATCGAACACGAAAGATGAAGGTTGCCCAACAACCCCGATGGGAAACATAAGCCTGAGCAACTGTTGTACTGCTGCAAAGGTACATGTACACGCCTCCCTACGCATATCCCACACAGCGAAATTAACACCAAACATACCACATCGTTCACCGTGCTCAAATCCATAACTACGACCAAACATCCCATCGTTGGGAGACTTCGCGATAGACGATCGAAAAATGGTCCACCAGTTATTGAGCCTCGGCTTCGTCTCCGAAAAACCATCGTTGGCCAAAATACTCCAAACATCGGGTTTGACCGACGACATCCCCGTCAAAGGCTCAACTTCTGTGACGTTCCACGCGGGACCCATATTGCTGCAGAAATATGTCTCCGTCACCGGAGGCTCATCATCGAAAATAGGCGGACCGTCGTACAATAGTCCGTCATCTTCCTCAAAAACCACGCCTTGTTGCCGCACATCTTGCCCGTTGTGAGCAGCAACGAGCTCAGTCTCGACGGGCGGAGACAGGTACTTTATGAAGGAATCAACCTCTGAGATGGTCTCCTCGCCGTCTGCATCGCCGGACGGTGGTTGTGGAGATTGCCGACGGGGCGCCCCGCCTGTACCACAGCCTCCGTGAACTCCCCCGCGCACACCCTGGTCGCCAGCGGCACGGTTTATCTGCAAATCCCAAACCACGTTGTTAAGCGTCAAATGCAAATCCTCGATCCCCGTCGAAAGATCAGCAAACCAATCCGTGAAACGCACGTCCAATTCTTGAAATCGGTAGTCAATCTGTTGAAACCGATCGATGAATGTTGCATCACGTTGTTTGTTTACGGCGTCTTATCGTGCCGGTGACATCGCGAATTGTACTGACGGCTGATACCAACTAATATAAGAAAGCGTAAGAGTGGGAAGGATAAACGAGTAAACGGGACTCTCTCACGTAAAACACGCAAAACTTAACACTATCTTATTTCATTCAATCATCAACTCCATCTGAATAACACAAAAGATGAGGAGTTCTTATTTCCTAAAACTCTAATACTAACTTGTTCAACAAGACAAGAACTCTTACTAAATATTAAACAATAATATTAAATCTCTAACTTATTCCCCAAGACACCTATTAAATAATAGTAATAATTATAATAATAATAATAATAATTATTATTATTATTATTATTATTATTATTATTATTATTATTATTATTATTATTATTGCACCACCAATTATACCAGAAATTTTATGACACCACATGTGACACCATATTATGGTGTCACAACATGATGTGACACATTATGATGGGTGCCACAACTATCACACATCATGTTGTGGCACCAATCAGAATGTGCCACATCATGTTGTGGCACCATAATACGGTGCCACATGTGGTGTCATAGAATTTCTGCCAATTATAATATTGTTAATTATTATCTATTTATAGACATTCATACTTTGTTTTTACAGAACTATACTTTTTTAATGAAAATTGCATAATTATAATCTGAAATGTCAAATTTTCTTTATGTTATATTATACTCCGAAATGTCACATTTTTCAAAGTATGACATATGAAAATGACAAATTTTCTTTATGTTTTATTAATTATACTCTGAAATGTTATATTTTTTCTTTACTTTATATTTCAAAACATGACATATGAGTATGAAAATATGTATATTTATTAAATGTTACATTTTTTCTTTACTTTATATTTCAAAGCATGACATAAGAGAAGGAAAATATGTATATTTATTATAAGAGTATCGTCTAACCATTAGGCTAACAAGAGATGTTAAACGGGCTAGCCCTAGCGGGTTTCGGGCTAGCCCCAGCGGACTTCGGGCTAAACGGTCTAAAAAGCCCGAATTTAAACGGGCTACCAATAAAAGGACCATCATAACCCTAGCGGGCTTTGGGCTAAACGGGCTATGCGGGCTATATAATAATAATAATAATAATAATAATAATAATAATAATAATAATAATAATAATAATAATAATAATAATAATAATAATAATAATAATAATAATAATAATAATAATAATAATGTATCAAAAAATATCAAAAATATAAATAAAAAAATTATAAAAAATTACAACGACTGATTAACGATTGTTTTCAACGGCTATTTGGTACTTACCGCTCTATATATACAACTACACATCATATATGAACACACTACAAACTCTTAAATAACATATTTTTTTTTTTCAAAAGAAAAAAAATATTCGAATTATTACTTACAATTACCATTTTACTACTTATTTTGTACGCTTTGGAATTTTTACGATATTCTATCATTATAAATTCTATCACTATGTTTCATGTGTTAGGTCTTTGTCTCATGTATTTTCTATTAGTCGTTCTGATTGACTTGGATATTTTGGTGTGGAGTACAATAAGAATATTGTTAATAATTATCTTTCAAGATCAAATCCGTTACAGCTCATACTTACATGTGAAGTGGAATAACAAAATTGTAATGTAGAATGAATCTAAGAGCATATTACTTCATGCAAACATTTACAACGCTCAACTCAAGTTAAACGGATTAGTCCTAGCTGGTTTCGGGCTAGCCCTAACGGGCTTCGATTTAAATGGTCCGGGCCTAAAAAACCCTGATTTAAACGGGCTACGAATAAAAAGCCCTAACCCTGTTTTTTTCATGGCTAAACGGGCCAGCCCGTCGGGCCAAGGACCGTTTAACATCTCTTAACACCCATAGTTTCTAACAAATTTATGAAATATTATATTTTAAAGTATGGCATTTGAATATAAAACTATGTACATTTGTTGGAATATCATATTTGTTAGGCAAGAATCCCAACTAAATAAATTAATATTCCAAATTTTCTATCAAACAAACAATACTTGACAAATTCAAGCAATAACTTTGCCCCTTTTCATTTTGGGCTCTTGATTTTCTTTGAGATAGATAATTTGCTAGTTAACAATCACATTGTGAGCTGGATTGTAGTTTAAATTCTAGGCATACAAAAGCAAGCACACAAAACAATGCCCTGAAACTGAAATCTATATATAAGTTAAAAACACCCCCACACTTACCAAGTGAAAACTATACTTTAGTCATTGCAGAAACAAAAAGTCTTCATCAACTTAACACAAAGATATTTCACATGGCCAGTGATGAAAAATTTTCCACAACTCTACTAAATGTACTGAGACATCCATCTGAAGCCCTCGCCGTAGCCCATTTTCCGTACAATGCTGCACATGAAGACCTCGAGCGGGCGGACATTGCTGTTGGAAAGGTCGATCTTGCCCTTACCGGTGGTCAGATCCATCAGGCCCATGTAGTAGCGCATCTCGTCCTCCGAGGCTGCATACGGCAGATCAATCTTGTTCCCGAGTATGAGAAAGGGTACATTGGCTAAGGAATCGTCCGAGAGAAGGGCATCGAGCTCTTTTTTCGACTCGGCAAATCTTTCCTTGTCGTAAGCGTCCACAAGATACACCACGGCATCAACCTATAACGCACGTCCCGTATGTTTACGAATATATACATTAGCATTCTTGAAAACAAGATGTGGGATCACAATAGTTCATATAGTTAATTGTGAGCAATTTTCAGGTTCGAGCTTAAATCTGAGCAATTTTCAGATTTAAAGGTTGAAGGTTGAAAGTGGTTTCAGATTCGAGCTTAAATCTGAGCAATTTTCAGATTAAAAGCTACAAATCACTTTTTAAAAGAGTTTGCAAACACCCCTGATGGGACCTGACCTCATTCAGGATCACAGATATACAAGAACAAGTTAAGGCTCGTTTGAAGATTCTTACACTAGCAATGCAACTTCTCGCCAGGCCAAGGAATCTCATGCTTAGCAAGGCTTAAAATTATGAAGTGCAACATATAACCAAACCCATTATTTAGCATGTACTTTCTAGACAAATAAGCTAAAAAGAGAAATTCTTCTGATTGTGCAAATGAATAATAACCTTAGCATAATAATCTCTCCAGACCCTTCGAGCAATCTGGTGACCGCCCAAATCGAAAGCTTTGAACTTAATTTTCCCAATACTCAATTCTTCAGATGTCGGATACTGAGTTGGTTGGTGTTGAACCAGCCTCTGCACCCAAAATTCAACCTATTAGATATCACTCGAGCACCATATGACAAATGGGGTTGTTTATGCTCAGATTATGCTAGAAAGCATTTAACAATATTTTCAAAAGGACCCTGCAATGATAAAAAGTATGCGGTTCGGCAAATTCAACCCTACCCTGTGGCAGCAGTGCCCTCACGAGGGTTCTAACCATCCAATCACACTCAAACGATACGATTAAAACCTCCGTGGATTGGTAGGGGTATGCATAATTCATCCTAAAATTCTTTTTTCCTGATGTCATTATTACAAAATACTTTCTTTTAACAAACTCAATTCTTCTAAAACATAACCCTTCCTTATCAATTCTAGCTTCTCCCACAAACAATTAGCATATAAAAAATTGGGATCTTTCAAGCTTTCAAGATAATCCCACTCACCACAAACACATGCACATAATTTTGAAATTATACAACATCTCTACCTTCCTTCAAAGACCAAATAAACCAACACCAAGATAAAGAGGACATATAGTCACACACAGACACCCAAGAAAACTTCCGATAACATCAATTAGTACCAAATCATTGATTAAAATGAGATCAATACAAGCAGATGAGAGCATTAAAAACCTCATCTTTGAGCATATGGAGCAGAGTCGTCTTCCCCGCATTGTCCAGACCCAGAAACAGAATCTTGGCCTCTTTCTGGTACAAACCCAAGGATGCTAATAACCCATAAAACCAATCCAAAAGAAACATCTTTGTTTTGTCTCAATCAAGAGAAAAAAACAAAACCCACCCGCAAAAAACGAACGAATTTTGCTCAATCGAAGCAAGAAAAAAGTATCGAAAAAGCCTAGGTCCCTCTCTCAGAGCCCAAATATTTTTTTTTTTTTTTTTTTTTTTTTTT